ACCAGTATTTTCGCCCCTTCCCAAAATTACTTCAACGGAAGGTTTCCAGATGGATATGCGGAGCAAATCCATCTGGCGGAGTCAGGTTAGATAGTCTAGAATCAAACCTGCCAATCAACAGGATCTAAATCACTGGAAACCTGCTTGATATCAAAACATGTGCTCAATATTCTGTTTAACAATAATGATCCTGTATTATCACAGAGCAACATGTCTTATTTTTTCAAAAACACAAAAAAAACCTACTGAATTGAATTTGGATGTTTGATTTGCAGTCTTTTAATGCACAGCTAGATCTATTTGTGTTTTGTTTTTTTTGCATCTGTAGTGAAATAAAATACTAAAAATGCCTTATTATTAGTCGAACTGTTTTTAATGTTCTTCCTTGTTTCTGCATTTTTTATTTTTTTTTTCTCCTACTTGCTTTGATTCTGTTTTATTTTCCTATATTTTAATCATGTAAAGCACTTTGCATTGTCTTTGTACTGAATTGTGTTATACAAATACAATTGCCTTGCCTTGCCTTATTCATATAATGCTGTAGAGTTCCTTTTAGTTGCTAAGTTACATTTAAATGCTAAAGGTGTATAGTGGGTATTTATAGACTTGCGTAGCAATGCATGTCAGTATATCTCTTTATTGATCCCAAATACCTTTGACTTTCCAATTATGAGGTTATGATTGGTTTGCTCATTGAGGGACCCTTCCTCCAAAACCACTAGTTTACACGTTTATCTCATAGAACCATCTACACACAGAAGTGTAACATAACAAAGTTGAGAAGAAGAAAAGCTAAAAGTAAAGCTAATGAACAGTCAGCCAAAGGTTGATCTTAAAGCAAGATTCCTGCAAGCTCTATAAGGAGAATAACTAACCTTCAAGTCGATGTTTTACTGTTTCAAATTTTCTTCTGCTTTAAGTTACAAATAGTGAAACATATTTAATGGGTATTTTTGCGTTTTTATTTTGTGAAATAATAAAATGATTATTTTATTATTTTGTGTTCACAAAGCAGGATCAAATCTGGAAAAAACGCATAACACTTCGATGTGTATGCAAGTCAGTACTTATACTATGAGTTTAAATAAAGGAATAATTAATTCACTAATGGAGTAAAGGGCACCATGCTGAATTTTTAAGGATGCATATTTGGCTTAAGAAAAGTTTCTAGAATACTGTGATGGGAAACACTGGACAACTGCAAGATGACGGCATGTTTTTTTTTTTGTCGGTAATGAAGGCCTTCTTTTCAAAAATCGGGTCAAATGTGTAAGGATCCTTGTTAGTCCAGTTTTTAACTGTATCTTTATTTAATTACCAGTGAGTGAGAGACAAGCAGAACTGTCATAGTACTTATAAGGTTGATTTAGAATCAGTTAGTGGCTTAAACTACTTCACTGATTGGGAGGCTATAAAGCATTCCATCCTTTCAGTGTGTATCCATGTTTGCTATCATTCTTTCGAACAAGGAAATGTGAATTCCACAATATTCTGTTTCATCCTGAGCAGATAAAAAAACAAACAAAAAAACAA